AAGTAAACCTTAATAAAAACCATGTCATGGTTTCATACTACAACATGCCAACAGCACGGACTGTCAGCCAGCAGCTGTCTGCCATCTTTGCTTCAGTTTCCCTTGTCTGTCCACTTCATCATGTGATACTCTCCTAAGCCTTCATCCTCATCCCCTCATCTGCTTTCCGTTACCTACTTGTTTTAGTTCCTGAAATTCTCAGGGGGAAATTCTCTAAGGGGGAAAAAGATTCGATAGCTTCCACTACACTAATACATTAATTCACCTCTGTTTTGTACCTGCTGACTCATATCTCAGTAATTGCTTTGTATTAACTTATATATCTATATTCATTTCCCAACTTCATGAAAAACTTTTTTCATGTACGATAGTATTAGATTCAACTAAAATATATAGTAAAGTCCAGTTCATGTCACTTCTCATATGCATGTACCCTGTAGGAAAGGTCATGCCCCACAAGGTCCCCAGGGAACCATTTCCAATAGCCCTACATCACACAACTTCAGTGGGAAACTCATATGAATTGTTGCCCACTGAGCTTGTGCAGGCTCCAGAGATGCCCTACCCGTCTTGTGGTGGTGTTATATTTATGCCAAAGAAATTAGAGGACAAAGAGTTCTTCCATCCCATTTTTCAAAATTATCCCTAGGAACTTCCATAGAGAGCTTTTCTTGTAGACCTTTGACTAGTGCAATGAACATCCACATGCTGTCATTTATCCTGAAAGAAGGTTGTATTCTGTGTTCCTTGAGCCTCGTGTCATTACCAGGTGAGAGGCAAGTAGAGAAAGGAGAATGAAACAAATCAGCTTTGTAAAAACAACAGAGACTTAAAAACTGGGGGAACATTGGTTTTCTTTTGCTTAGACTATACATCACTATAAAAGCTTACTGGAAATTTAATCTTTCTTAGTTTTTCTGTAATGTGGGTGCATTTCCATAGTAGATGATGATGGTTTTGAGGGCCAATGCACCTTTTTTAAAGTTTCCAGTACACAAATTACCTATTCTACTGTGACCTAAGTGTTCAATCCACATCAAACCCCATTTGTAAAACAAAAACTTCTAAATGCAGCATCATCAAAATTGTGCATCTTTTTTATTTTATTATTTTTATTTAATGTGTGTGAGTGTGTTGCCTGCATGTATGTGAGTGCACCCATGACGTGCAATGCCTCGGAGGTCAGAAGAGGGCATTGGATTCCCCTGAACTGGAGTTAAGGATGGTTAGAAGCCGGTTTGTAGCTGCCATGTGGGTGCTGGGAATTGAACTCGGGTCGTCCTCAAGAGCAGTCAGTGTTCTTAACCACTGAGCCATCTCTCCAGCCCCCAAAATTGTGCATTTCTTAAGTCTGTCAGTTATGCTGATTTTCTGGATTGTGTAGCAAATAAAAAAGAAGCAACAAAGAGCCCAGGGATGGGACTAGAATGGTTCCGGCTGATGCGGATGAAGCAGTGCCTTGGTCTGTGCCTGTTGTCAGCTGTGCGGCAAATCTCCCCATTCTCCTCACTGGAGCCAGTAGACAATCCCACACGGAGGTAGCAGACCCAAGAGGACATAAAACATGTGGAACAAGATGCTTGAGTTGGAGTGTTGAATATAAAATGGTCTGCAAGTTCAAATTCTTCAGGGAGTAAAGAGACGAAAGAAAATGAACAATTTATTCGGCTTCGAAAAAATAAAGCCTTTGTTCCTTTCCTCTCTGATTCTCTCTCTGGCTGAGAGAGGAGTAAAACCTAAAGCTAGAGCCCAGGAGAAATCTCTGGTCCACCACCAAGAGGCCCCTGTGTACCTGTGAGACACCTTTCTGGGCTGCAGACACTACTAGTGTGATCATTGCAGCTTTGACTAGATAGAAATGTACAGGCAAAGAACAATTTCTTATATAAACTCAATGAATTTAAAGCCACCTCATGTTAGATAATTTGGAGTAGATTGATGCAGCTAGTTCCAAACCACAGTATTTCTGCTCTAGCATGATCTTGTCTGGTAATAATTTAAATTTGATAACAAGCCAAAATTCCAACTTTTTTACATCTTTTCCCCCAAATTGATGTAGAGAGCTATGAATTATCATACACTGAAATCATTTTTCTGTTGACGTCGTACTATTTTTTAGATAGATCATATTTTCAAGAAAAAGAAAAGCTGATTTCATGTTCATATTTTCCATTTGTATAACCCATAACAAATATTTAAACTTTTTGATGGCTAACTTTCTACAGGCTTCTTTTAGTTAGAAGAAAGAAATGTGACTCTATCTGTGGCTCTCAAGAGCCCTATGCATGGCACAGCACAACTTTGAAAAGAGACAGCTGGAAAGAGTTTATTCTTAGTGTGAAAAGCTATAATTTATTCTTTGGTAAACAAATAAATTAAAGACCATTCACATTTGGATTTGACCAGAAACAAATGTGAAAGGCCTTCACTGGGATACAATGATAGCTTTAGGGTCCTTTTAAGTCAGCAGAACTTGAGTCCACCGCTGACCCGTATTTGGTGAGGAGTAAACAGCAGAAGCTCTTGATCCTCCCTATTAGCCTTGGGAGCCTGTGACAACCTGGTTAGTCCCCTAGATAGTTAATATGACCTCTATGTTTATAGAACAGAACAGTTGTAGACATTTCATTCTGAATGTCATCAGAGTACAAAAAAAAAGTATACAGAAATTGATGAATGCGAGTAGACCTAATTTTATTACGGGTGATGCTATTACAAGTCTATTTCTCCAACTTCTTCCTCCATGTTTCACAGCTTGGTTTCAAATATCCCCAACAACTCGGTCTTTTCTGAAAAAATGACAATATGTAATATCACTAATGTATATATAAAACCCCAAATGGAGCACAACAATGCATGCCTGTATTCTTGCAATCCCAGGACAAGTGAGTAGATGTATAAATAATAAATAA